GGAAAGAATAGGACGGGAAATTCTGAGGGATGCTATAGAATCGATCCGGAGTTCTTGAAAATATTTTGAAACTGTCCAAACAATACAATAATATGTTCTTTTCACGTTCTGTTCTCTAGACGGAAATAACGTCACATTCAATAATTCTTCGCCGCGGAAAATTTTCAATTTTAATTTGTTGTAACTCTGTACAAGTGACTGGCGGATTTCTTTTCAGAACAAATAATGGAATGGGACATCTAATGGAATCCAACAAGGAATCCAACGTGAGGGAACCCAACTTAAAAGAATCCAAATTAAAGGAATCCAATCTGAAGCAATCCAATTTATAGGAATCCAACCTAAAGGAATCCAATCTTTAGAATCCAATCTAAAGGAATCCAATCCAAAGGAATCCAATCTGAAGCAACCCAATCTAAAGGAATCCAACCTAAAGGAATTTAACCTAAAGGAATCAAATCTAAAGGAATCCAACCTTAAGGAATGTAATCTAAAGGAATCCAATCCATAGGAATCCAACCTAAAGGAATCCAATCTTTAGAATCCAATCTAAAGGAATCCAATCCAAAGGAATCCAATCTGAAGCAACCCAATCTAAAGGAATCCAACCTAAAGGAATCCAATCTAAAGGAATCCAACCTAAAGGAATTCAACCCAAAAAGAATCCAATCTAAAGGAATTTAACCATAAGGAATCTAATCTAAAGGGATCCAATTTAAAGGAATCCAACCTGAAGGAATCATAGTTATAATAAATCTACTTTAAGAGTGTCTTTCGGGCTTGAATAGGAGCGGTCGGAGCAGGATGGGGGGGGGGATTCGACTTATTTCTTTCTAGGGGGATTCCGATTCCCCCCCCCCCTTCCCCTGGGAATAAAAGCCAAAAGGTCAAGAAGATTTCTATATTTGCATAAATTAGAGAAGCGCCAATTTCTAATCTTATTACGCGCACAAGTCATCAGTGGGCGCGTAAACTAGCTGAAGGCAGAGAAACTTAATATGTTTGGCTGTGTGCTCCTTTCATTCAGATTTAATGGTTCTAGGTGTGTAATCAGTTGCTCTGTCTCTTTTATTCAAATCTTATTTTTATTCAAGTCGTCCAGTTGAACAAAAACGAACTATCGAACTTTTTTTATGAAAATTCTTTTAAATGTTCAATGAAAAATGCCAAAAAGACGTGAAATTCGTGTGGTTTTTTTATTTTATCTAAATTTTGTTTTTCTGTTTGTTTGTTTGTTTGTATTCAAAAAAATGACAAAGCTGCTAAACCGATCAGGCCTCAAAAAGAAAATTTTAATCTTGGAAATCCACCAGTGAACAAAAAAAATTCTGTGACACAAGAATTTTTTCAATTATATGAAAAACTGGCTCTCGTAAAATTAACATTTCTAAAGAGCTGAATTCAGAATAAAAGCGCCACAAAAACCAAGTTTTACAAAAATATGGCTTAAATATCTTATAATTCATTTCTTTTGCAAGGTTGTAATTCATCTCATTTTGAAATATTTTCAACAATAAAAGAAAAATCAAATAAAATCAGAGATTACTACTTTATAAATTTAAGATTATAAGAGGTGTTACAGTTGTTGAAATATTTCTTCAAACCAGAAAGAATATTGATGATAAAACTAAAAAATTTAGTTTATTGAGTGGACCTACTGTCCTCATCCAAATAAAAAATCTTACTGAAATAGATTGAAATTAAATATTATTGATCTGTTAACATTAACAATTTAATTTGTTGATATATATTAAAATAATAATTATCGTTAAATTTTTGGAAGTCAAACCTTATAGAAATCCAACGTATAGAAACAGCTACGTATAGCAACAAGGCGTATTTTCCGGGAGAACATTTTTTATATTTTTGAGAAATGAAACGTTTTTGTAAAATATCATTATCATTATCATAATTACTACTTTTTTAACATACCCTAGACATTGTGTTTAAGGTCCCCCAGATTTTATTATGTACTGACAACATAAATGAATGATTATATGGTAATACATAAAATTGCGTGTTACTATAAAAAAAAATATTTTATAAAAATGCTATCTACAGTTTTATTTTTAGAACAAAAAATTCTTTAAAGTATAAAAATTCCGTTTTACCATTTAAATAAAAGGATTTTATGTAAATTATATCTACTTTACACTGACTATTTAATTTCTCATGTTCTCCCAGAAAATACGCCTTGTTGCAATACGTAGCGGTTTCTATACGTTGGATTTCTATAAGGTTTGACTTCAAATTTTTGGAATCATGATACACATCTTTATCCAGATGTGCAAATTATAAATATTAGTTGCAAAATTTCTAAATATTTAATATATATTCTTGAAAGATACGATTGACTTATTTTCAGGTGAATCCCAATACCTTTTATTGGATCAACAACTAACAACAACAATATATCGTTGTTTTTTTGTCTTATATAGATATATGTAAAAGTCTTAAAATTTCCATCATTGTTTTTGATGCAACAATCCCCAGTCACTTCTTTGGAGAACCTTAATTATTATTGTTATCAATTTTCAGATATAAAAATAAGGATAATTCAGCCAATTTTGTTTAGTAAATTGTGTAAAGGGAACTGTTGTGAATCAGGCATGTAACCCCCTTCAAATAAAGAGTTTCTTGCAATTTCGTGGACAGTCCCTTTAAGAAATAACTAGTGAGTGTTTGATATGATGTAGATATGTCGAAAGACTTGAAACGAGGATAAAATTATTTGATAATTGAATTTTCTCACTTTTTGTCATGTTAGAGGATCCGAGTCCAATGTTTTTATGAAATAATTTGACAATATGATTAGATGATTTAATTTACGAATCATTGTATTTGATATAACTAAGGATTGAGAAGTTTCATTACAAGGATTTTAACCCTAAACCTGCTGTCAACATGTTCCCCCTCTGGTTCTACTTTTAGAAGATCTGTTTCACCCTGCCAACCTTGTTGTCAGTGTGGATTCCAAGAAAATGAATATTTAAATCTGGAAATTCACAATAACTTCCTTACATACTTGTCTTCCTAGCTTCTTCCCTACCTCCTTATCTTCTTCTTCCCTCCTAGCTTCTCCCTTTCTTCTTCCCTCCTAGCTTCTCCCTTCCTTATTCTCTCCTAGATTCTCCCTTCCTTCTTCCCTCCTAGTTTCTCCCTTCCTTCTTCTCTCTTAGCTTCTCCCTTCCTTCTTCTCTCCTAGTTTCTCTCTTCCTTCTTCTCTCCTACTTTCTCCCTTCCTTCTTCCATCCTAGTTTCTCCCTTCCTTCTTCTCTCTTAGCTTCTCTCTTCCTTCTTCTCTCCTAGTTTTTCCCTTCCTTATTCTCTCTTAGTTTCTCCCTTCCTTCTTCTCTCCTAGCTTCTCCCTTCCTTATTCTCTCCTAGATTCTCCCTTCCATCTTCCATCCTAGTTTCTCCCTTCCTTCTTCTCTCTTAGCTTCTCCCTTCCTTCTTCTCTCCTAGTTTCTCTCTTCCTTCTTCTCTCCTAGTTTCTCCCTTCCTTCTTCTCTCCTAGCTATTCCCTTCATTCTTCTCTCCTAGCTTCTTCCTTCATTCTTCTCTCCTAGCTTCTCCCTTCATTCTTCTCTCCTAGCTTCTCCCTTCCTTCTTTCTTCTACTTTCACCCTTCCTTCTTCTCTCGTAGTTTCTCCCTTTCTTTTTATGAAGTATTAGAAGCTTAATGTTGAGAAATTTGAAATGAAGTTAAAAGAATAAATCATTATAAAAAGTATACTCGTATACCTGCAGATTATCTGGTTTTGAAAATATAAGCTCTCTTGTAGCAGCTGGAAGTGCAGAAATTTGTAGATTTAACCTTTAAGTATTTAAAAGTGTCGGTTAGGTTAAAACTCTGAGAAGAGAGGGGAGATGGGAGAGAAAAATGTCGGTTAAAGGGACTGTAAGCGTAATTTTAAAATACCCTAAATGCAAAGATGACAATGTCTGATACAAAGCAGTACCCTTTAAACAATGATATGGAAGATATAGGTTTTTTATTGGTTTAAAAATGTTTAATTCTGAAAATACCATACGTTTTCCTGGAGTAAAAATGCGCAAGTCATTTCTGTAAAGAAACCAGAATTGAAAATAATCAGTTTGATGAACAATGTACATTGTTTTTATTTGCAATTCTCATTTGTTTATAGTGGGCTAACCAATTAAAACAACCTACTCTGGTTAGGCGGGTCCAAACTACATAGTAAAGTGTAAATTTTTATTTGTATTATCTCGTGCTTTGTAGTTGAATAAAAATATGAAAAAAATATGAAATATGATATCTAATTTATCTAGGAGGGTCATTTGAAAGTATGGTCACAGTCCCTTTAAGTTAAAACTCTAGGCAGAAAGGGGAGAGAAAAGTGTTTTGAAAAGGTCAAGGTGGGGAAGGTCTACGAATGAACAGCATGGATGAACGGAAAAGGTAAAAAAAATGAATCAATGATTTTGGCTTAACTACGTTTGTAACAAGGATAAAGTGTGAATAATAAAATTGATTTAACCAAACTTTTGGATCAAATACAGAACTGTTTTATTTTTGTGATTATTGGACCGAAGGAAAAAGTTTTATAAATCGACGAGATTCCGTTAAAAAATGTTAAATAAAATCGTGGATTAAAGTAAAATAGTTGAGAATTGAAAGGATTTGCTGGGAAAAAATAGAATCTATTTTCTTTAAATTTATTTACATATGTTTTAATCTTATACATAACATATAAAGACGATCATTTTTTACTTTTTGATGAGTAGGTTCCACTGCGGATACAAAATAAATCATAGAATTATCAAATTTTATCCATATTTAACTTTCGCAATAGAAAAACTCTCAGATTCTAAATCACAACAACTATTATTACCATTTCAATATTTCAATGTTGTCCTCTCTCCCTGCTAATCCTGGAACTATTTGTTGCAACTGCAAAATTCTACTCGCTAATTACATGTTTGTATGTGCGAGAGAGTGTATGCGTGTGGGTTTGTGTGTGGTGCGCGTATATGATTGCTCAGTCTGGTTCTAGTGTGCTTGGCGCGCGGAGTGTAGCTGGTAAGCTCTTGTCCTTGAAATAATACCACAGTGAACGGTTTATAAACAAAACCATTGAACCAGTGAAACAAGGAGATAAAGTGATCTATTTACAGATATACCAGGAGCTGCTCAACCCTCCCGTAGTTTACCTAGACCCGGAGCATCCTCGTCCTCAAACCTTGGGTTTAAGATACATCCCTGGGTTCTCCACTTGGAGCAACTGGGTGAAAGTGGGTTGAGCCCTTGTAACCAAGTATCCTGGTATACAGGAATATAGTTAAACAAATATTTATCATGTGATCAGTATATTGAGTAGAACCGTGAGCAGGATTTCTTTGTGAGGATAAAGATGGGGTTGGGAGGGAGGAGGAGTAAACAGAACCTAGTTTATCAAATACTATTCCTGCTCCTGCTCTCCAGGTTCAGCTGTTTAGTGAGGGGGGAGGAGGAGGAGGTGGGGTGTTCTCACCCCTCCCTTCCGTCAGGAGCAACTTATTCAAACCTAACAGGCGGGCTGGGGGAACAGGCTTGGAAGATTAAATATTCATGTGATATAGGTGAGAAATACAACTTTAGCCAAACTTTTTTGTTTTCCTTTAAAGTTTAGGATATTAGTTTGAAGGTATAGACCTAATCACACAAACCAACATGTTTGTTTACATTTACAATAAACTATAAATCCACGCTGATTTAACATTTCGGTTCTAGTCCCAGCAAGTTGTGACTTTCGATCCCAATTTTACCCTTCTTCCCTTGAAAATGAAAAAAAAATTAAAAATAACTCCGTTAGTTTGAAGATTCTTGAATTAAAGAACAAAACTCGATTTCATTCAAATTGAATAATCTCGCCTTGGTTAGTCCAGGGACCCTGGGACCTTGGTTAGTCCAGGGACCCAGGGTGAATGGGATATTGAAATATTTTGTGTACCTAACGTTTTAATATTTAGCAAAAGATGGTAAGGATAGGCTAGGATAGTTCAGCGTGACTTGCTGTCTGTTTATTTGACTGTCTGATGTTCTATCTGTCTGTTTATTTGACTGTCTGATGTTCTATCTGTCTGTTTATTTGACTGTCTGATGTTCTATCTGTCGTTTAGAATGTTTGTTCAGATCTTTATATTTTTCATAGAATGTGCAAACATTGATGATTGGTTAAAAAGGCAGTAGTCCACATACAATAGGATTATAAGAGTTTCCCAAACTGTTCAAATAATGATATAGACTCAAAAATCATGTTTACGAGAAATTATCTGTTTTCTAGTGCTATACGACAAACTAAAGGTCCTGGTTTCACGCCTTAAATGTAGATTTTTTCATATTTACTTTTTTGTTGAGAATATATTATTTTAAATATGTAAGTATATATGGTCTTTTACGCTATTTCGTTTACTTATATGTAGTTAATTTTACGTGGCTCCACTCTCCAGTGTTAGTTTTATCTTACGATAAATCGCTGATTTAAAGCACAAAAACTTTTTTTTTCATTTTTTTAAGATATGGTAGAGAAATGTATTTTTTGACAATTATCTACCGAAAAATATCAGAAATACTCTGTTATGAACAATTTATTGGGTACACGTACAATTGGTAACAATTAATGGTATCAGAAAAAAAAGTCAATTCAACTGTCTGATCTAAAATAGTTTGCAATTAGATTTGTCCTATACCATGATTGTGTTGACGCAAGATGGCGTAATATAAAAAGGTCAAGGCGTGAACAATAGCGAACACTTGGAATATAATAACAATTCAACTGAGTATAATAACAATTCCACTGATTGTTTTTAAAATATTTACCAAATATAAGTATCTATGGAGCAAAAATCGTGTAAACATAATATTCTGTAAACTTGCAGTACGTTGTACATTTTTAACAATTGAATACGTTTCAATTGAATACGTAGCATGATTAGATTAAATCATGTGATATACTTAAACTACGCTACAAACATATGCATAGATAGCTTAACTGCGTTATATATATTCTCACTAATCTTATAAATATGTACATTAAAATTTAACTGTGTGGCAAATGCGTAATATGATTGTCTTAATCATATAATATAGATAACGACGTAGGAATTGTAATTACTTCAATTCATGTTAACTTGTGACATAAAATATTAAATAAAGCTTAGTTTATAGAGTAACTCCGTACTGTTTACTGTGTGAGAGTAAACCTGAAACCCTGTCTTATAATCAGGCGGGATCGTCCCTTTAACTTGGGATCGATATATAGCGTGCTGTATATATAGCTAGGCTTGTGTCCTTGTGTAGCATTTAGAGCACTGAAACCCTGAGTTGGTATAGCCAGGTAGGATCGTCCCAATCATTTGGGATCGGTATATAGCTTCTTGTGTAGCTAGGCTTGTGTCCCTGTATGACATTTAGAACATTGTATCGTTCCCATCATTTGGAATCGATTGATTGATAGCTAAGCTTGTGTCCCTGTGTGGCATTTAGAGCATTGGATTAGTAGCTGGATTTTGATAACTACGCTTGTGTCTTTATGTGGCATTTAGAGCCTGGGATTCAGTCCTGGTTGGGTTTGATAGCGGACGGATTGTACCTGGATAGATACGTTCGAGAACTTGTTAAGTAGTAGGTGTTTACTACATCTATATCAGGAGGAACTAAAAATAAATCATATTACCCCCCCCCCCTCTCCCCTCCTTCCTTATTATTATTGAATCCGGTTCCAATATACCCCTATCCAAGCCTGAATTAATAATTGTTAAGTATTTTGTTACGTCACGCTGTGTAACCATGGAAAGATCAAACCAGCAGCAAAGCAACCAGTTTTAAAATTGTAAAGGGTCTCCCGAAAAACGTGAGAATGATTTTCAGACGTGGTTTTACGTGACTTTTTTTGGTGTTCTAATTAAAAAAATTAAAATCAACGACTTTATTTGTGGATTGTGAAATTTTATCGATCTGGCAATATAAAAGAAAAATCTTAAAATTATAATCTTTTAAATGAAATTAATATTTTTTTATAAATGTTTTATTATACATATTTTTCAATTTTGAGGGAAGAACGAAGTTATGCCACATTTTGGAAAGGTACAATCTTTTAAGTTTTTCACGTTTTTTGGGACACGCTTTGTATCTTCGGATAGATGTAAACCACAACCAAACCTGCCGACTTAATTTATAATTATAATCTGAACCTGAAACTTTTAGGACTGGTGTAGACATTAAACATAGAGGACAGAGGAAATTTCAAACCTGGGTTTACAAATAGAATTAGATAATTTCGTGGATTTAGACCACTGTAAAAGATGTACATCAGATGTTTAGACCATGTCAACTTTGAAGTGTCGCAATACTTTTGTAGACTTAGACATATAATTTTCATTACCTTAAGTCCCTGATATACTCGGTACTTGTTTAAACCCTGGGTTAGTCAACCGTACAACAGTTGAAGGGAAATTAAACTAAATGATTCTGATAAAAGAATAAAACAAACTCTTTCGATAAGAAGCTAGTTCATTAACTATTTAATTAAGCTTATGTACTGTAAAAATCGTGTTTAAATTTGTCGCAGTAAAATATAAAATTTGTGTGTGTAGGGGGGGGATGATATATAAATCAAAAGGATACATTTTAATAGTTAACACCTTTGTCAGGATTTTATCACAGAAAAAAAACGACAATTAATGCGTTTTTAGATTAGTTATAACTGCGTGAAAGAATAATTTTCAAAACTTATTATTAAAGACATTAAGTTTTTTAAGGAGCCAAATAATCAACTTTTGGATAATTAAAGAATTTGTTGAGATCAACTAAAATGGGAATTTTTTCTTCAAAAATCATTTTCTATAGAAAAGCCACTATACCATTAGTTTTCATTTATTGGTCTGAAAAAGAATTAATTTTCTTCTTTTTAGAAAAATTGTCTAATGGATATTGTTGATGTCTACGATCACTTGAAATTGTACTTCCCCTAAAAAAAGATAATTTAAATTTTCAAATATTCAGTGTTGCATCAATGTTTTAATTAATAAATCATCTAATTGAATTCAACATTCTAAAACTTGTGGGGTGGGGTGGCTAGTGTGTGTCACCAATTCTTGTTAGATCACTGAAGTTAAGCCAGTAACTGGATTGATATTAAGACTGGTGTTCACGGGTTCCATTCCCCCACTTCTTTCAAAACCATCTGAAGTGCAAAATCTGGTTAAGCAGTTGTGAGCACCTGACGGATGAAGGAGGACAGTGCAGTGGGGTGGCTGTCAACAACTCTGGCGGCGAAAGAGTGCGTTCTTTCTACTCAACAAGAAAGAAGCTTTAAGCGGATTGAACCAAGTGAATGATGATGACGAGAGGAATGGTGGACAAGCAGGGAGAGTCTATGGTTGCCAGCTATAGGTACCTGGGGGTATCCAATCCGGGCTTACAGATGTTGGGGAGCAATGAGTGTGATGTTTCTTATCAGTATGGCACCCGGGCCTCATTCCAGTATATCGGAAGAATTCCTGCACTCTATATTCTCAGGCCTATGAAGCTCTTAGGCAGCTGGAATATTGTCAGCTCTGTTCTCAGTAAGAATGAAGGGTGGATGGATGAATGTGCTGCCAGATTACAACCCTGGCGGATTAATACAAAACCCCTACAACACCAAACTTTCGCAATAGAAAAACTCTCAGATTCTAAATAACAACCCGATCATGTCCTGGGGACAAAAACATCTCTTTTTAAATATTCTAAAACTTTTTAATATTCATGCTATTTAGTTTATAATTAGCAACCTTTTCAATTAAAAAGTTTAATAAAAAGAAAACTATTAAGCTCCAGTTTATTGCGGGAATTTAAAAAGAAAAAAATCTTAGATTTTTATGAATTAAAATTTTCAAAGAAAAATAATAATTATTGTATTCAGAAATAAATCTTCAGGATGATTAAAAATAGTGATTAGCATGTTCATGTCTTATTTTGAAAAATTATCAAATGCATTAAGCAAAATGAAATAATGTTTGAATTCATGAGATAAAAAAAAATCAGCAAAATCATTCTTTTCTGAACAACCGTCGTTAAAAAAATTTCATAGAAATTGAGATATCATAAAATTTCAACGCAAAAAATTATAACTGGAAATCAGAAACATCAAAATCTTGTCATTTCGGTCTTTTCAGATAAAAGAGCTTTGTTCATTGGTTTCAAGAAAGTTCACTTACTCTGTAAGTTTATTCTAAAAATTACTAAGAATTTTAGACAAGGCATTTTTTACATCTACTTTAGGCATGAACAATATCATGTATAATTTTAGACAAGGCATTTTTTACATCTACTTTAGGCATGAACAATATCATGTATAATATATATACATTTATATTATACACATAAAATTTATAACAATTAAAAAATTATAATAGACAAAAAAAATTGTATTTCTTTTACAACTTTTTCTTGTATTTTCCCTATATCGAATAAGTTTCAGCTAATCCCTACATACATGATGTTTCTAAACACTGAGCCTACTTATCTTATACTTTATAAACTCTAGACTTGTATCCTGTCTAAAAACTTGAAGATAAAAACCTAAAAACTGAACAGA